GTTCGGGAAGCCATTGCTCTTGCCTTCCTATCTGATTTCAGCTCCACTCTTTTGGCCAGCAGGTCCTCTTTTGCTTTCTTACTCTGTAGTTCTAAGAAAGAGAGCGCGAGGAACATCAAAATATGCATTATATGTGAAAAGGGCCATGGTTATTTTCTCACCCTCATGTCTTTGAAAATCCCTATGGCTAAAGGGGTGTCTTATCCTGCCCCTGTAAGGCCACTGTCTTGCAGAGTTTAGCTCCAATTAACCCTACTGTATTTTATTTAATACAACACTTTTAAGGCTTCTAAATGACCAAAACTTTGCTGAAAAACTTTGTACAGCATCTTTCAAACATCATCCTGCATTGCATTATATGTTTTGCCCCACAATAAAAACTTCAGAGCTTTAATCATAAAACTAATCAAATATCATCTTACCAAAACATATTACCGGATAATATTGAGTAACAACTGATATTTATATGCATTGACGTTTAAGTAATTTCTCACTGATTTACATTACAAGCTGTCAGAATTTCATCTTACTTTTTGGCCATATAAATATCAGCAACTGCATATTTTCACTTAGTTCCTCTGTGTTTTTCCTCCTCAAGTATAACATCCCCCTCTATCAAAATATACAGGCCTGATATATCAAATATTATACTCAATAAAAACACGTTCACATTCCCTTAAAAATAATAGATTGTTCAGATCACTGTTTCTTATGTCAAGCTTTGGAGAGTTAAACGCACCTGAACCAGCTAATCAAGGTCTTCAGGACTGTTAGAAACTTCCTGGCAAATGTGTAGGAGCTGTTGGAACTGTGAGCGTTTGAAAGGACTAACTAAATAAATAATATTAGATATTATAAAAGGGGTCCATACAACTTGTGTGCTAGTTACATGATATACCAGCATAGAGCTCATAGATCATTTTATAGTAGTGAAATACGCATTTCTAAGGAAAAAAGTGCATTTGAAAAACGGCGGAGGTGACGAGAGCGCTTTAGTGCAAAAAGTGCATGACCTACATGCGAGCACTTTAACCCTTTAAGAAGCTTATAACCATATTGTTTTGTGTGGGCTGCCGTTTCAGGTGCGTATGCCATTTAATGCATTGAAATGTGTGTTAACTTATGTTTTGCATTAGGTTGAATTTTATCTGCAAATATTAGAAGAGTGTGTCCACCGAAAGCAGAAAAAAGCAACGGATTAATTTTGACAAATATTAATTTAGATAAAATATTAGTTGTTGGCTGTTAAACAGACCCCCTTATACAGTGGGTACGGAAAGTATTCAGACCCCCTTCAATTTTTCACTCTTTGTGAATACTTAGGACCATGTGATATTTCAGTTTTTCTTTTTTAATAAATCTGCAAAAATGTCAACGATTCTGTGTTTTTCTGTCAATATGGGGTGCTGTGTGTACATTAATGAGGAAAAAAAATTAACTTAAATGATTTTAGCAAATGGCTGCAATATAACAAAGAGTGAAAAATTTAAGGGGGTCTGAATACTTTCCGTACCCACTGTAGAATAATAAAGAGTAACACATTACTATCTTCAGATGATGAAATGTTTGTTTTGTGACACATTTGTGGTTTTGGGTTTCTTTATTACCATTTATAATTTAACCTGTGTGTTGTACTATAAAACTTCCTTTACCTAATTTAGTGTTCCCTCTCAAAAATGAACAAATTTGCTTATAAATCTTTCATTATGCTATATTATCACCAAATCTTGGATTGATTATTTTTTTTGTCCACTTGTTTTCTTTCATTTAGCACAGGTTTTGTATTTCTTTTTGGAACTGATTTATAATGACTTGATTGATCTGAGCTTATGCACCTGTTTTTGAGAGAAAAACTGTTTTTTTGTGTGTGTGTGGATAATTTTAACAATGATCACTAAAAAACTCAAAAGGTTTTTGAGCATAATGAGAGATTTACAAGCAATTCTTGCAGACCTGTAATTTTTGACAGGGACACCCCCATATGTAACAAGGTCCTAAAAAGTACAAAGAATATCCAGTTGTTTTGGGAAGTTGCTGTACCCTGTGTATGCAAAGTCAGTAGGTTTTAGTCCAATGCGATAACTTTAACTAGAAAATCTAGTCCGGGTCAAAATAACTAGAAACTGGAACACAGAGTCAAAATGACTTTCCAGTTTAGAAATGTGTACAAACAGTTGGTTACTTTTTTTAATAATTGTGACATTTTATGTGGTTGAGGTCAACCCTGATGTGAATGTGACATGTCTAAATAGAAGTCATATGGACTGCCTTTATGGTGCTCTTAAGGTCCTTTTCATCATCTTGACAGCATCCATCCCCTTCATTTTAATTATATGGAAAAGAGCTATCTTTTGTGGTCTTATGCCGAGTTCACACTGCACGATTTTCAAACTCGTCGGATCGCCGTTGTTTTCACACTGCGTGACTATCTGGGGTAGCATTCAGTTGCTGCTGTGTTCACATTGCACGATGGATTGGCGACAGGTGGTTTCACACTGCATGACTTCACAATAGGAAGCATCGCCGACAGCTCTGTCTGGTCCGCAAACTACGTTTCACAACAAAACACACGCGAGAAGTGATAAGGAAATAACGCGAGAACCCGCGTGCGTCAGACCGGAGTTCTCGAGCAAGAGTGTAATTATTAAAAAAAAATATATATATAGCCCGCAAATTGTCTGTGAGCTGATTTCCAGCTACAAGGAGAAAAAGAAAAACAGATTATGCAGGAGGGAGATGCAGGGAACAGGGATTGGGTGTTCTGCAAAGAGAGTTGGAGGTAAATAATTTTGCAGTAACTGTTATGCTGATGTTGTGGCTGGTCAAGCAAATGTTTGTGCTTGTTTCTGTATGATATAATTGTTCATATATCTATTAAAATACTGATATTCTGGTCTATAACTCCTCCCCGAACTTCCCTCTGCCCTGTATCTTGGTCTCTCATTGGCTGTAGGTCATCGCCGCGAAAAATCGGGCTAAAATCGTGCAGTGTGAACTCGGCATAAGTCTTACAGGTTTGCAATGACATGACAGCAAGTAAACAATGACTTGGATGGACTATGCGTTTTAGGAGATATTATGTACAGCTAAACAAGGTTTAAAGAGGAAAAAAAGCACCTTTTTTCTTTTGCTCCATGGCCTGTTTTTTCAAGAAGGCCTGCACCGCAGACGAATTTACTCCCTTGATTTTGACATCTTTCTTGGGTGGACCGGTTTTCAGGCTATACCGCTTCTATAAAAAACAGACATGGTGGAAAACCACAGAAATGCAAACATGCGCATGTGAAATTACAAGCACTTTAAATGACATAAGTGACTTGGGAGGCTTTTTCTCAAAACGTGAGCAAAATTAAATGCATATTACCCTAAAACATGATAGATTGGCACATTACAACAATAAAACATTTGAATTAATCAACGTGCATGTAGTTGGACCTTCCAAAGTTATAAATAAGACGATAAATAATGTTATATTATTTTTTTTCAAGTGTTTTTCTCATACATACCGGTATGCTGCTGAGGCCTTGATTTTGGGAGGCAATGGACAGCACGTTGTCGAAATCCATGATCCCTAACTGTCTACAGCTCACTTAACGTTACTTAGCTAATAGCAATAGCTAACGTTACCACTTAACGTACCAATCGACAAACACTAACCTCAGGCAGCCTTTGTGCCCGTAAATACAGTCTGTAAATCAGCCGAAATCAGCCCTGCTGTTAAAACCCACCGAGTACTGGAGGAAGGAGAAGCAAACTAAGGGGAAACCCTCGATGAAATCAACTCCCTTCAGCTTCTGTTCGCCATATCTGATCAGCTGCTGTACATTTAGACCCTTAAACAACGGACAGCTTCCCAGATTGATTAAAAAAAAAAGTTTCGTTATGTATTCGTTCAGTGATACCGGACCAGTTTCCCTAAATTGTCATTAAGCGACATGAAACAACGCGAACATAGAAAATCCTCTTGTGAGAAAGATCTGTGTTCTAGAAACAACAACCAAACCTACGTAACTTCCGGCTCACGTTCCTACGCCACTTCCGGTTGTTTAAGACTCGCGTTATCTTCTTTTTTAACTTTCAATGTTGCGTGTATATCACTCACAAATACATAAGACCAAAAATTGTAGATATTTTGTAGATAATGGTTGATAATGGTAGATAGGTTGCTAAACATAAAAACACAAATAGCTAGAACTGTACCTTTCTCAGTTTTTGAATCTTCTTTTCTTTTTCTTTCTTTTTTATAGACAGCAGATGGGATTTTTAAATGCAAAAAAAAAAAAAACACTAGAAAAATAAGCTAGGCGAAGTATAATTAAACAAAAAAAAATATATAAAAATGCACATCCGTGTTTATATATCATAGATGTTGCTAAATAAAATCTAATAAAAGAAACAAATCATATCGATAAATTCTATGAAAGCCAGCACAAGTACGATAATCACACGTATTTTTCTTTTGCATTCTAAATATTTATTATAAACAAAGATTGCAATACCAACACATCAGTTTGTACTTTAAGGTAATATTAACGACTTTTTTAGGAAAATAGTGAGTATAGTGACTCAATACTGTTTACTTAATGCTACCACAAGGTGTCGATACAGATTCAAGAAACAGTTCAGATACCGTTTACGCATCTCACTATCATTTTATTAACCTTTACAATTTATATCGAACTTGCATTATATATCAGAAACAGATGTTGACAATAAAACGTATTAAAAACGCGATAAAAGGAATAAACGGGCACTGAATGCGCTGTATGTAAATATCGCAGGTAAACCCCTCCCACTCGCCCACATTCGCTGTAATGTAAACACCTTCCTGCATTCCGATTGGACAGGGCTTGTATTTACCCGCAGGCTCCGCCCACATTGCAGCGGATTTCTCCTCCCACTGATGATGGCCTGTCCCAAACACAAGACAAAAACACATTTAAAATACAAAGGGACGTAAATACGTTAGCGACGACCGATCCGTTCATCTTTCCACTGGTTGTTCATCCGCAGACAAAGATGGTTTCTCCTGGCACTGTGGTGAGTCTGTTACCTGTTTTCTCTTTTCTACCGCTTTTCATCCAAAGATCCCTGCATCATCGACATGATCACTTCATAAAGACATGATATCAGTTAAACTCAAACTGGCATTGCATATGGATTCATAAGTGTATGACCATTTTCATTTCGTATTCATCTATTGCTTGGCTCTGACTGCCACTTCTATTTCTTTATGTTGTGTATGCATGATTGTTATTTTTAAAATTATGCTTATATAGTGACCTGTCGTTAAGGATATGACAATCCACATACAGTACCCTGACATCATTGTTTGTTTTAAATGTATATTTTTGTCTATGCATCCTTGAGTCTGTTATTTTGGGAATAACAATGCGCACGTGATTATGGCCAGCATGCTCCTGTTTACTTTACCTCTACAAACCATGTGCTATGTTATCATGAATGGTGCTGGTTTATTTATGCAGAGATTCAATTGATCTATCATTAAATAAGCACTGTGCAATTCGCTGTGCAGCATTTTTTTTTTCATTCTCAGCATTTCCCCATTTTTGTCTGCTTTCAAAGGGCTTTATTCTGTGGAATCTCTCCTGACAACCTTTATTCCTCTTTCAAACAGACGCATGCATTATGACTAACTGGCAAAGAGAGGCATCCCAGTTCATGCAGTTTCTCTTGACATGACTTCAGTTTTGCTGACATAATCAACAATTAGCAGACATAATCTGACCTACTAAATATATTAGTTGAACTGTTTTTTTTTGTTTAAGGCATGTTGTCACATGTTTTAACTGTGTAATTTTATACAGTGTATTAATTAACGAAATATTTCACCCACAAAATTAAAATTTACACACCCTCAGGCCATCCGAGATGTAAATGTGTTTGTCTTCATTGGAACAGATTTGGAGAAACTGATCATTTGCAGTAAATGGATTCTGTCACGAGTCTAAACAGTTGATAAAATTATTACTAATTACTTTCTAAATCCCATATCAACCGCGACCAGTTGAACAATACAATGATAAACATGAATCTGCTTTTTTAATTCTTTCAAATAAATAATATTTAATTTCATAAATTATTCTTGAACTTTATAAGTATTTAAAGGGAGTTTACATCAAAAACATATACATTTTCATTAGATGCTACATTTAGATGTTAAATACACTCTTGTTTTACATAGAATTGTTCTATATACAGTGCTTAATGTAATTACATCAGAAGTAACTAATTAAAATACAGAAAAATGTTATAGTAATCCCTTACTTTACTTTTTCAAGAGAAACAGAATATATATATATATAATCAGTTACTTGGTAATACATTACACTCAACATTGGTAATAATGAACAAATCCAACATGATGTTTTTTTAGTTCAAATCATTGCTTCCATCTAAAATATAATATTCCATAATATTGCACATAATAAGTCATCTTGTCTGAATCAAGAAAGAAAACGGCACATATCAAGCACTGTTTACAAGTGAAAGCAGTCCAAAACAGTGGCCAGAAGTGACAAAATAAACACTTTTCAGCTCATGTTAATAGATGGACCGGAGTGGTGTGGATTGCTTGTGGATTATTGTGATGTTTTTATCAGCTGTTTGGACTCTCATTCTGACGGCACCCATTCACTGCAGAGCATCCATTGCTGAGCAAGTGATGTAATGCTAAATTACTGTGTTGTGTTTGTATGATTCTTAAACTCAATTTTAGAAAATACTCTTTCAGGGGATGCACTTCTCTAAAGTGATTTAACATACAGTAAACAGTCCCACCAGCACAATGGTTATGGTTAGTGGATCATCCCTTGTGCGGTTCACACACCACCTTTCATTTACCAGCTCAGATCTATAACCACAAAGTAGGGCTGCACGATAAATCGCATGCGATATTTAACGCGCATCTTGTCAGAAAGCCGGTTCTTTAATCAGCGGTAAATCTCCATCACCTGCGGGCTTTCACATTGAGCAGCATTAACTACACAGAGCAGTTGTTCACAGGCAAGCTGCGCAAAGCACGCGCATGCGATTTATCGTGCAGCCCTACCACAAAGCTTTACCACCCCTCATTTTAAAGATCAGCACCACGTTTAAAATATAAAGAGATCATGCTGTGTGCATACAATATCCTTACATTAACTGGCTAGAAATCAGAAGCACTTATTTCACAGTGTCTCTGTATTTCAGTGTGACCTTTCTCAGACTGCGGGGTACACCAGAATCTGATTAAAATATACACTTGCTAACAATAGCCTTTTTCCACTTCCCCCACGGGCAAAGACTCGAGTTAAAAACTATTTAACTTTTCTTGTCCTAATCCTCTTCTCAGTCCATGTCCGTTGCTTAGTCTTGGAATTTGTAGTAAATTCCAAGACTAAGCAACGGACATGGACTGAGAAGAGGATTAGGACAAGAAAAGTTAAATAGTTTTGTTAATATGGGTCTTTGTAGTAGTTGTCACTGTTACATAAGTAGTATGTTGTGTACCGTGCCACTGAATCTACTTCTTCCAATATATAAGTACAGAGATTACATGTATAAAAGGCAAGTGTTATTATTGTTTATATTTACTGTTAGTGATTTGTTCTTTATGTTTCTAAAGAAAATGGCCTACAATTTTAGCAAATTTCCTGCCAAATGTCCAAAAAAATACAATAGACTTACAGTGAAGTAGGAACCCAAGTCATGTTTAATATCATAGAGATTTGGGGGTGGGCTCTTTTGACCCAAGCATCCACCTAGCAACCACCAACAACACCCCAGCAACCACTTAGCAATACCCTTGCAACCAACCCAGAACACTCTAGAAACCCTCCAGCAATACTCGACTAGCAAGCCTCCCACCCTGGAAGTACTAGTTACACATAATTATATGCAAGAATACTTTTTTTTTTCAAAATTAGACCTGTTGCAACTATATGACAGCTGCTTAATGGGATGTAAAGTCTAGAATCACCCATTGAAGTCTTCCAGAATCATCCAGTTTTGTATGAGGAGGTTGTGCAATCAGACTCATATGGCCCTATGGGTCACCAAAGAACAAATATGTTTGGGGTGTAAGTCATTACTTCCTCCTTTAGGGTTTCTTGGCGGTGACTATCCACACCGTCTGTTGTGAATTTAGTTAAAGATGGCACTCTAGGCAAAAGGCCCAATTCTAAACTAGTTTTCATGGGACAGTAAACTTTGACATATTTTTCTTGGGTTTGTTATACTTCTGAGACGTAGCAATTGTCATAGTTGTTATTCATGGTATCTCACATCTCCTCCAATTGTTGAATACAAGAACAGCTCTGTGTCAGTCTTTCTGACTCACATGATGGTGTTTCACTTCCCATCAATGCAACTTCAGTCTCTCTTTTGTCATGCAGGTCAAGAGCGAGGGTCCAAAGCTTGTTCCGTTCTTCAAAGCCACTTGCGTCTACTTTGTTCTGTGGCTGCCCACCTCGAGCCCCTCCTGGTTCAGTGCCCTCATCAAATGCCTGCCCATCTTCTGTCTTTGGGTTTTTCTGCTCGCCCATGGCATCAGCTTTTTAGGTGCCCACTCCAGTGCCAGGAAAATCCTGGCAGGACTTATTTTTTCAGCTTTGGGTGACGCATTTCTCATCTGGCAAGAACAAGGCTACTTTAGTCATGGTGAGTTCATTCAATTGTGTTGCTCTGATTTGATTAAAAAATGATTAAGAGTTATTTGCTATGTGGGTTGATGGGAAGGGAAAGATATGTCATCCGTAAAAAACAAATAATTCTGTTTATCAGAAGCTTTGCATCAATATAATATTGCATTTAACTTTTATTGCCTTTCCAAATGGGGGTTCAATGAGTTTATGCAAATTATCTGAAAGCAGAAGACTGTGGTTTTTTGCAAGTCACCACTCTCAAGCAAGACATTTTATGTTTTAACCCTGAACTATCATGCCTGATTCAGCAACTTTTGCATGGAGAAAGTAGCGTAGAGGTTGAATGAGGTTTTTTAGGTCAGGGTTAAGGGTTAGAACAAACCATTCTGCCCGAAGATACCCTTGGGAACCACAGAGTTACTCAAGCAAAGTTTTGCTTTGGAGCAAACAAGAGTGTTATGAGGCCAAGAATAACATGCTTCCTGCTAAGTAATATAAAGACAATGTATACTATATGTCAGTGGTTCTTAATTCCAGTCCTCACATAGCACCGCTCTGCATATTTTGCATGTCTCTCTTATTTAACACACCTGATTCAGACAACCAGCTCGTTAGAAGACAGCTCCATGCATGAACTGTGTTCCGATTGACGGAACCTACACGGTGTTCATTGCTCCCTACTCCCTGAGCACAGGGAATCCGTTGAAGTTTTCTCCACTTTGGAACATTCATTTACGGATTTGCGCTATCTCACGGCCTACAACGTCTTCACACACAGACAAAACTTACTAGAGAAGTGTGATATAATATACCTCTGTAGATAAATCCAATTTAAATTCACGTCTCGCACACTTTAATGCCATTTGAATGAAACATATACACTCCCTTCGAACTGGAATCATGGCGGAATATCCTGTGATGTCCACTTCGCAGGGCACTTATGGTCGAATAGAACAAACATCTATGATAAGTGATACATACAAAATGTGCAGCGCAGTGGTACATGAGGACTGGAATTGAGAACCACTGCTATATGCTTTTATTCAGGGGTGTCCATTCCTGCTTCTGGAGACCGGAGTTCAGCTTTAGCCCTAATTAATCACATCTGAACCAGCTTTTCAGGGTCTTCAGGATTACTCGAAAGTTCTAGCAAGGTGTGTTGCAGCTAAACTCTGAAGGAAAGTGTCCCTCCAGGAGCAGGATTGGACACCCCTGCTTTCACTACGACATATTCTCAATTCAATTGTATTTGCCTTATTAGGACTGCTAATGTTCGGCATCACCCACATTCTCTACTCTTCGGCCTTTGGGATGAAGCCCCTCAACTTGAGAGCAGGTCTGGTCATCGCTGTCATCTCAGGCCTCAGCTACACCCTTCTGTACTCCTACCTCTCTGGTCCCTTCACCTACCTGGTGGCTGTTTACATCGCTCTCATCGGCTTCATGGGCTGGAGGGCCATCGCTGGAGTCCAGCTCACCAATGACCTCTGGACCTGGACGAAACTGTCGGCCTGCCTCGGAGCTGTCCTCTTCATGGTGTCCGACCTCACCATTGCCGTCAACAAGTTCTGCTTCCCAGTTCCCCACTCCCGAGCCATCATAATGGCCACCTACTATGCTGCCCAGATGTTGATCGCACTGTCGGCTGTGGAATGTCAAGATGCTGATGCGGCTCGGAAAAGAGCTTGAGGAACCACACATTAACCAACCTTCCCCTAATGACTCAACATCATTAGCAGCTACACAGGTTCCACTTTCTGCAACCCCTGGTCCATCCACAGTTCCCCCGTCTGACCATGACCAGGATATATTGGTTATAGTTGAGGAATTGCCCGTTTAGGATCATGTGAGACCAAACCAATGGGAGTATTCCATGCTGGATTCATTTACAAGGTTAGATAGTCTTGGAGTCTTAATCAGGTTGACTCTTGACTTAGTCAGGTCTCTTTCCATACTTGCAATACTGCATTTGCTTTCAGTAGTAGTACCATCTTTTTGGTATTGAGAAAGGAAAGACGGATGAGTTTTGGCCTTCTGGTTACTAGTTTAAAATATTCAGTTTTTCCCAACTTACAGTACCCCACTTGCTTTCCCATTAAGTATTGTCTCCATTTCGACCGAGACTATCCCAGTTTCTTCTCAATGTCTCTGATATCTTGTCCACTTCATAGAGTCCCTGATGGCTTATATTGTGAACAAAGGGTGAGTCTTGAGTGACCAGTGTTTGTCTGTAGAATGGACTAGCAAACAATACAAAGTAGTTCAGATTCTTCTTAGGGGGCTGGTTTCCCCCTTCTCACAGTAGATTTCCCAAATCTAATCAGAGAGCAGCATGACAACCATTTCACAAACTAAAGCAGATATGTTAGCGTAGTGATGCTGTACTGAAATTCAATGCACAAGTCCTTGTCATAGTATTGTGAGGTATACCTTTTCCTGTGTCACTGACACGTTGCAAAGTCATTTTGTTTCATAACTTTGAGTTAGTACACATACCTCCATGCCTGCATGCACATGTGCTGGAGAAGTTGTCTTGTCAAGCCCAATAGACTGCAACCAGTGCTAGCATTGTCTCTGGAGTAGATGAAGCCGGTATCCTACACTACGTTCTGAGATGTGACCAATACCAATAGGAAAACACAGCGCGAGACTCTCATAAAAATGGATGTCGGTCTCTTTCTTGGAGGGGATTCGGTGACAGTGTCTATTATCTTTGTCTTAGGTTTCTGCCAAGTCAGAAGCATTGCTTAGTACCTCTACCACAAGGAAACAGCAAATAAGTACAAATTGAACTATTTATTTTGTCTGTATAGTATCAGATAATGTTTGTAAAGAGGGTGTGATGTCAGACGATACACATGTATCAAGCTTCCAACCACTTTCCTTTGTCTATTGCCAGAAGGAAGCATTTTACTCAAGGGAAAGTGGGAAGCCCTGTGGTGGGCGAATAGACATCTGTGTCATCAGCAGTGTCGTTAGTTGGTATTTTATTTTTAAGCCAGTATTTTTTTTTAATTCTCACTCTTTTCTCAACTCATTCACATCCAATCCTCCACCTGAAAATGTGTGAAAATTTCACAGCGTGTGAATATTTCACAGTACAGTGTTATCTTTTTTTATTGTGTGTGGTACTGTGCTTTTTTAGCTGAGTCACATACTAGGGTGAATCACAACATATTTTAAGTCATACTTCACTACAAAATAAAAAAGTATATACTTTGCATAAAGAAAATGTATTCTATTTTAGGATCATACATTTTATGATTTTTTTTGCTTTACTTTATAGGTGTTTTGCTTTTGTTTGTAATTGTCATTATTCTCAGAAATGATTCTCATTAGATTTTTCAGTAATGTGTAATTCTATTTTTTCCTCTTTATGGTGCAACAAATACAAAATTGAATTCATATAATTAATGAGAACTTAATTGACATAACAAATATCAATATCAGTCAATAAAAGTGGTACTAAACTAGGCTTAATTTTATTTATGCAAAATATTCAACTATAAATATTATTTTCTTTGGGGTGAAATATGACCAGGACATTTTTCTTGACAGGCTTTGTGAGATTTAACACAAACACCACATGTACTGTATTTATGATCAGTTGATTTGAACTGATTGTTGTTTTTATATATAAATCTCAATAAGGGATCATCAGCTGATGCTTCACTGATACTAAATGAGGGAACCATCAGCCATGATGGAAAGTACAGCTTGGGCTGATATGTGCTCAGCTGTTGTACCCTCAGGTGTGAGTGGAAATGAGCTTTGAATGCAAACACAGCTGATCACTCAACAATGGTCCATTTTGAAGTGATACGACATCTTTAACCTAGTCGTGATGCGCGGGACAGCAATATCCAGTGGTGGACTGGCAGTAGACTCCATTTTTTGTTTTTAATGTGAATGAAAATGGTGCCGTACTCTTGTGTACACTCTTGGGTAACTTAAATTTTTCATTCAAAGACTTGTTTTCATGCACATCAAATTAAATAAGGTGTCTACCCATCCCTGTTAGCCATTGCGTCCAGCACACTGTTACGCAAATAAACGCTACTGTCGTTATCAACACGCACACACTCAGCTCAACCACTGAGCTCTTGAGAAACAGCGAGGCTATTTTGACACATTTGCTTTATGCCAAGTTTCATAGTTTCCCTATTCAGGGGTCACATTGTCAGCAAAACATTTCAGCTTAGTCGTAAAACCGTACGTGATTTGCAAGGTCATCAAACAGCATGTCTCTTCAGAGCCATTGTGAGTCAAGCTGCAAATCGGTGATGTGTTGTGAAGGTCTGCGGCGGAACGACATTTTGAGTGAAGTTATAATTGTTTGTTTGATGGTTTTCATGAAAATAAGAGTTGGGAAGACCCCAAAGCGTTCCCCTGAATCATTTTAGTGGCAAACAGACTGTTTAGTGATTCAGAGTCACTTCTAATAAATGTTAAATGTTATGTAACCATTGTTTGATGGCAATATTCCTGCTTAGCATTTCTTTTCTTCCTTGTTTACAACCTGCTGTCACCTCCCAGATAGTTAGAATTCGACCTGGCCTGGGCGTTTCCTTCTCTATTGTGGAAATGCGATCTCCATAGAGGAGACTAGGTGCCTTCTGTTTCCATCACTGAAATGCTGTCTGTTGAGAAGTGTGGAGACAGTCACTGGCACGGGGAAGATTTCCTTGCCATCTGGCTTTGCTTTAGTTTGCGACCTTATTCAAATGGAAGTGAGCGCGATCGTTTTACCCCCTCTGTCAGCGCTTGTGTGTTTGATGCTTTTGTGTCGAGTTCAGAGGGATGAAACAGAATGCTGGGAGTTCAGTGGGTTCAGTATTGATGACAGTGTTTAGGTATAGCGATCCTGTTGTTGAAGATAATGAGGAATAAACCACTTTGTTCAAAGCGCACCATCGAGTAATGTAAATATCTGCACTTTTCCAATTTGATCTCTTTATTAACCTCCTGAAATTCTGTATTTGAGATTGAGGCCTGAAATGTACTCTACGCAAATGCTTGACGCAATTCCCAAAGGCCAGTTTTGTGCATAACTGTGATTTCCCAAATGTCAGGTTACAATTCATAAAGTGATGCAAGTATGTGCTGCTTTCTCAACATTGCCACAAGGGGCACTATAAGCTGTTTTTTTTCTTTCACATCAATCGTTGTCATGGAAGAGCTACAGTTTGAAGAGCATCTGAGCAATTTAGTTTAATGACGTTTATAGCTAGCTACCTGAATACAGGCCCGTTCACACCAAGAACGATAACTAAAGGTAACGATAACTAGATTAGTGTCTACACCAACGGATGATATTGTTCTGTTTATTATAAGTGCACGCTGGCTATTGACTCTTTTAAGTCAAATAGATTGTGATTAGCCGTCAGTGTTTTTATTGTTCTTTAGCTGGAACAAAAATCGTTCTGAAACAGTCAATGTTAGGGATGTAATGTGGACTTTGTTATTGTCATAGAATTACAATGATTTTCTAAAACTTTTTCATTATAGTTAAGGCCCATGCACAACAACGAGAACTATAAAGATAACTATAGCAATAAATATCTTAGCGTCCACACCAATGGACAATGACTTTCCATTTATTAGAAGCGCACACTGCAGTTTTGTCGCCTGCTGCTTTAAATGCTCAAGCTCTTTAAAGTCAAATGGATTGATGAGTGTCATCAATGTTTTTATTGTTCTTCAGCTGGAACAAAAAATTGTTCTGAAAGTGATTCCAACGATATCGCTCCTCTGTGACGTTAACGTTAGGCCTGTAAAGTGGACTTTGTGGACATTGTCATAGTATTACAACAATTACTTAAAACTTTTTTGTACCCGTTCACAGCAAGAATGAGAACTAAAAAGATAACTAACAATAACTATATTAGCGTCCACACCAATGGATGATAACGTGCTGTTTATTATAAGCACACACTGCAGTTTTGTCACCTGCCACTTCCTCTGTGACGTTAACGTCATAGCTGTGATGTGGACTTCATTATTGTCATAAAATTACCATGATTTTTAAACATTTTTACGTTATAGTTAAGGCCCATTCACAACAAAAATTAGAACTATAAAGGTAACTGTAATGATAACTATATTAGCGTCCACACTAATGGACAATAACGTTCCGTTTATTACAAGCGCACACTGCAGTTTTGTCGTCTGATGCTTTAAATGCTCAAGCTCTGTAAAGTCAAATGGATTCAATGTTTTTATCGTTGTTCAGTGGGGGAAAAAAAAGTTTTGAAAGTGATTCCAACGATATCGCTCCTCTGTGACATCAACATTATAGCTATGATGTGGACTTCGTTGTTGTCATATAATTAGAATGATTTGTTTAAAAAAAACTTTTGCTTTACAGTTAAGGCCCATTTACAACAAGAATGAGAACTAAATAGTGCTGTGCAACGATTAATCGCGATTAATCACATCCAGAATACAAGTTTTTGTTTGTATAATATATGTGTGTGTACTGTGTATATTTGCATACACATACAGTATATATTTTGAAAATATTTAAATATTTACATATTTATATTCATATAATTTATATTATATATAAATATATTTAATATATAAACAACATATTTTTCTTAAATAT